TCCCTGACTCCTTTGTGCAACCACTAGCCAAATCCTGCTGGAATATCTCCCCAACTGTGACACTGTCCAGGGCCACCTGCATGACCCCAGAGCCACCTGCGTGCCACCCTGCGGGAGAGGGACCCCGTGCCCGCTTCACCTCGATGGTTGGGTTAGGGGTTCAGACCCCTCTCTGCTCTCAGGGGGTTCCCACTGAGCCCCCTGAGACATAACCAGACCTTCTACTCACCTTGAAGTGCCCCCAATGTGCTACAAGCACCTTCCTGTGTCCCGATGCCATGACTCGGGGCTCACCCCACCTGCACCCACCCTGGGGGTGCTCCTGGCTGCCGGTGGCCCCCGGTCCTGGCCAGGGCACGGGGTTGGGTTTCAGAGGGAATAGAGGGACGAGGGGCTGGCTGCAAGGAAGCACTTACCCTCCTCAAACTCGATCTCCAGCACGTCTGGGGTGTCAGGAGAGGTGGCCGGGTCACAGGTCTTCGTGTAGAGCCCAGGGGGGGCCTGATTCTGCCCATGAAGGGGAAGAGAAGAGGGGAAAAATTAGTGGCATTGGCATTCCCAACCCTGACCCCACATCCCCCATCCCCATCCCAAAGCACGGGGCTGGCACGGCACAGCTCCGGCGCTTACCAAGGCCCCGGGAACAAAGGGGTTGGAAGAATCAGCCAATTTTTCCCCTCAACTTGATCTCATCTTTTCCTCCGACACCCCCACAGCTGGAGGCGGGATGGCTGCGGAGAAGCAAGTCAGGCAGGGAAAAAGCGGGACGATGGCAGGAGCGGCAGGGTGGGCACCCACACGTCCCCGCACCGCGGCCGGGCTTATTCAGCACCGACCGAAAAAACCCAATGAAGAGGCCTGACCCCAGCAGGTGCTCCAGGCTCACCGGCTCCTTCGTGGTGTCCCCGGGGTTAATACACACGGGGGAAAATAGAGGAACAAAGCAAAAACCCATTTCAGAGCACATCAACCTTTATGTATATATTTTTTTTTCTCTAGATTTATAGGAAAAAGGCATCTTATCTCCATCAGAGCTGGGCCACCAGAGGCTCGGGCACTGAGAATGAATTGCTGCAATTGAAGCACGTGCCAGAAGAGGGGAAAAAAGTAGAATTAAAAAAAGCTTTCTGCCTGGAGAGCAAATATTTTGTAATTTTGCATGTCCCCTCAGCACTCATGCGTGACACGGCTGTGCGTGTTGACCCTCAAAACACTTTCGGACCAGCACATGCAAACTTCTTTCTCTAAAGGGAACCCCTCCATCCAGCTTTAGCTCTGGCAGAGGGGAGGGAAACTGAGGCACAGAGTGCCCAGGGCCTGTGTAATGTGGTGAAAAGAAAAGTAAGCACCGAGCAAGAGAACTGCAGAGCCGGGCTGGGCCAAAGCTGTCCTGGGTCAATGTTGGAGGGAACATCTCAAAGGAGCCTCTGGCTGAGGTGTCCCAGCAACCTAAACCCCTGTGCAAGCAGCTCGGTGGAGTTTCTCCAAACTGAGCTGCTCCTGCAAGTGTTTTAAATGGTGGTAAACTGGTATTTCCACACAAAACCCAACTGGTGAGAGCTGGAGCTCTGGGCATTGTTGGGCAGTGGGGCCCTGCCTGCACCCAGGGCTCTGCCTGCACCCCAGCCCACACTCCCCCTGCTTCTCCTCTCCTTTTTACAGTACAACTTTTCTCCTGCTCCCATTTCCTTCCTTCTCCTCCTCTCCAGCAAGTAAAAAAGGACAAAGTAGAAAGTAAGTTAAAAAAAAAAAATCATAATCAAAAACCACAAAAGTGATTGCTTTAAATAATTTTTAACATTTTCAGGCAAAAAAAAAAAAAATCTGCAGAAGTTTTAACATTTTCTAAAATTTTAAAAGATGGGAAATAAGCCTTTTAGAGAAAATCAATTATTATTTTTTTGTCTAATAAATAGCAAAGCCCAGTCACTGCCAGCAGCCTGCCCAGCCATGAGCATCCCTGCTGGCCCCTGCACACTGGAGTACCCCCCTGGCCTCACCCCAAACCCCAAGGTGCACATCCCGGTGGCAACCGCAGCCAAGTCCCAGGAACACAGACCTACCTACCCCAGCAAAACCACCCTCAGGTTCCCATTTTCTCTCATTTTTGCCCCTTTCCCTTGTTTTAAGCAGGAGGCTCTTGCACTCGCACTTCCCCCGTGGCCCCTGCGCGCGCACACGCACAAATTACACGGGCTGAGGATTTCAATTTTACATTGTCTGGCCTTTTCTAGCCCTGATCACACTTATTAACTAGACAAACCCACGAGAGATGATGAAAAACTTTGAGTTCAAAAGGAAAGATGGGGAGGGCGGGAGGGGAAAAAATACCGGAAAGTATTAAAAACTCTTTACTAAACATTGGAAGTCAAAGTCAGGTAGTTTCCAATTTTCCGAGCCAACTATGAAAACCTCTATTAAATAAAATAACTAAATAGAAATAAAAGTGACGTTTGGCTTGCATTCCATCATTACCGTGCGAGTCTGTCCTCTTTTTATTCTCTCTCCTAAAAGCACAGTTCAAATGACAAATAGTTTGTTGCAGTGTATCAATGCCTCCTATTTATCCCTCCCCGCAGGGGGGCTCGTCCTGCAATGTCATCTTTAAAGGGGAGAGAGAGAAAAAAAAAGGGGGGGGGGGAGAAAGGAAAAAAAAAGGAAGAGTGTGTGGAAAGGGAGAGAAGGAGGGGGGAAGAAAGAAGCAAGAAAAACGGGGCAAGAAGAGAAGAAATTGGAAGCAAATGGTCCATGAAGTAAACCATGATGCAGAGCTATCGATGCCGCAAATGGTTTATTCATCCGGCTGATATTGTTGTGCCCGGGACTGAATGAACTCTTTCAGAGTGCCATATGAAGTTAAAGCAAGTAAATTTCTATCTTTCTCCGCATTAGCTGCCTCATTGCCCTTCAATCGGGCCTCACAGAGGCAGAAAATAGCTCAACCATCTGCTTTCAAATCCCTGCGTTTGGCAGGTCCCGGGGGTTTGGGGTGGGGAGTCCTCTGTGCCCGGCACCCCAGATCCAGCTGCAGCCACCTCGGTGCCTGGCACTGCTTCCCAGGCTGGGGAAGGGGACAGTGGTGGCACCGTGCTCTGGGAAGTCACCTCCTGGTGATGCTCAGGAACAGGGTCACTGCTCTGTTCTCTGCTACACTAGACCCATTTTCCAGGCTGGCTTTGGGAAGGAAGCGGGATTGGCAGAGCCTCAGCACCAGGGATCTTCCCCAAGGGGAGAGGTGCTGGGTGCGGAGGGGTGGGTCAGGATGGGGGCACCAGGAAGGGTACGGGTCTGTCCCTTCCTATCCCCTGCTAGAGCCATGAAAACCCATCCCTGTACCAAGCACTCTCCTGGAGGAGACCCCCCAAGGGCCCAGTTTTGGCAAAGCCTGACCCACAGACACCCCTCTAGAGGCAACCAAAGAGGGAGCTGGACCCCCTCTCCACCTTCCTCACGCTCTCGCCGGGGCCACATGCCAGCCCAGCCACAGTGAGCCGGCTGCGGGCACTGAGCTCCAGCCAGCTCCTCTCCCTCTCCACCTGCCTCCTCCTCCTCTCCCTGGATTGTCTAATTAGCACTGATGGATAGTTTAAGTAGCCACCGAGTGTTGTGACCCACTGGAGCATGAACCACGCAGGCGGCTGGACCACGAGCACCGTTCGCCTCCGGAGCGACGTGCTGCGCTCACCGGCAGCACCAAAACAGCCAGAGCTGCCTGGGAGCTGGGGGTCCTATGGATGCCCTTAGGATCTCCAAGCACCACCCCACACAAGGAGAGGTTTTATCCTGCTTCCCCATGGATAGCAGGGATGGGAGGGTGAGGAGAGATAGGCGAGCTGCAGGCACCGGCAGGGGACCCAAGCTGTAGTGGCCAACCTGGAGTCCGTCACCCACCACCAGCGCCTCATCTGTCTAATTGCTCCTTTATTGCTGCCCTGCGACATTGTCCCCTCTGGTGTCACCCTGAAACGGTCCCTTCCCCTATTCACATCAGTGGCAATTAACGTGCCGGGAGAGGCGGAGGGGCCGGGGTGGGCGGCAGGGCCTCCCCCCTGCACACATAAAATTTCCAATTAGGCGGCGAATACCCGAGACGCCCTCGGCCCGGTGGCTGCCATGCTGGCCATGATCGATTACCTTGGGGTTCTCCAGGATCCCGGCTTCGTAGCTGCAGCAGGCAGGGAAGGAGAGAGAAGTCACTGCAGCACCTGCAACCTCAAAACCCACCAGGACAACCCCCCCTTCGACTCCCACCACCCCACGAGGATGGGTGTAAATAGGTGTTAAGGATCTCAAGGAGCTTTCAGTAGCAACCCTACAAGGAGTGTCAGGCTTGGGAAAGCCCAGGAGATAGATATTGCCACATGGGACATGGACAACTAGGCAGAAAAGGAGGCTGGAGGTTTTGGGGTCACCCTTGGTGAGCACGTGGTGGGGCAGCCTGGGATGCTGGAGGTGGGAAGGGCTGTCCTGACCATACAGGACAAGAGGATCAGGGCCCCGTGGTCTGGGTCCTCACCCCACAGGAGCTCCCTGCCTGCCCAGCCTCTCACCTGATGTGCATGAGGTTTTCATCCATGCTCCACGGTGTCTGGGGAGTCACAGGCACTGGGATCCCATGTTTCTGCCAAGAGAAGGAGAGCAGCACTGAGCAAGCCCATGGGGAGAGCCAGCCCCCACCAGCACCGGCTCCTGCTGGGATCAGACCTGACAGCACAAAGGGACAATCCACAGCCACCAGCAAGACAGCACAGAGCAATGTGGACATCTGTGTCCCTGACCCTGGGCCCTACCAGTTCCCACCATGAGGGCCACCTCGATGGGGCCATCAGGGACATGGTGTGGTTGGGAGGAGAACAGCTGCCCCAGACCCACCACAAGTGGAGATGAAGCCCCAGAGCACCCCATGAACCCAAGTGATAGAGACGTTGGCACAGATGTTATGTGCTTTTTTCTAGATCCAGGTCCAGGATGGCACGTTCCCTCAGCTGAGCTCCAGGAGGAGGTGACACAGGGACAGAAGTCCTGAAAACCACGGGATGCTCTCCAGCCTAAACAGGACTGATGCTCTGCCTCGAGGGGACAACACACATGTCCCCACAGCCTCATGCACACACATGGAGATGCAGACCCACGGCACACGGGTGGCAGGCGTTCCCCAGAGCCCAGGCACCCCGAGCGCACCATGCCCGGGACGCACGGCCCCGCACCGGCTGCCTCCCCGGCGCAGCGCACAGCGCCAAGCCCAGCTCCCTAACAAGGTCACCGGCACGCTCAATTATCTGCTGACACTTCAATGGGGGAAATTGCCTGTGAAGACGAGGTGAATACACGGGGAAATTAGCGGGAGAGGCGACGGCGGTGAGCTCACAACCGGAGCTGGTGGGGACGTTGCCCACCCTGCCAGCACGCCGAGCTGTGATGTCCTGGCTGCTGGATGGCCATGGTGAGCCAGGAACAGAGGCGGTGGCTGTGGGTTCCCACCATGCCTCCACATGTCTATACAGCCTGTTCACTGCCGGGCAGCTCTGCCACATCAGTGTCACCACAGCAGGGACATCAGCCAAGGGCTTGGCCCAGAAAAGAGGAGCTGAGCAGAGGCTCCTTGTTTGCTGTGAATAGAGGAAGGAAATGTTTCTGGTTGTTAAATCATGGTCCTTAACCCATCACCTTGAGATGGGAACAAGGTCCCCAGATAAATCCTAATGTTGCAGAGGAACTAACTCAGGTCACTTCCAGAATAATGCTGGGGAGAGACCATGGGCTGAGGGACAGACCTCAACTCTGTCTGGGGTCTGACCACGCTCCCATCCTTGTCCTCATCCCAGCGCCCTTGTAGGTGTTGGCAGAGGATATTTCACCTTAGTTAATTAAAGCCAAGCAATTGTTAATTGTTAATTGTTAATTTCACCAAGTTAATTAAAGCCAACCCCGAGGGGCTGCACCCAGTCTTGGTGCGGGGCTGGTGGAGGGTGTGTCCTCTGACGGGCTCTCCTAGTGCCATCAGTCACACTCATCTCGTCCAGGACATATCAATGCATCTTTCAGACCCAAATACCTGCAGAATCATGAGCCACAAGCCCCAGTAGATTCACATTCCCAGGCAGACCTCTGCCTCCTCCTGCCAGTTGGGGAAGGCCATGTTCCACAGCCCATCCTCACTCCATGTTAGCACTTCAAAGAGGATCCTCTAAGTCCACACCCACATACGAACATCCTCCAAGCCCAGGCAGCCTTACCTGGGGCCAAACGTGCCACAACCAAGGAGACATCTCATTTTGACAGCACAGCTCCAACGAGCTCCACCCCACCCAGCTCTGCCCATGGTGATGGCTCACCCTGGAGCAGCATCCAGAAGAGCTTCACCTTTCTCTCTAAGGTGTTTCAGCCTCAACTGGTTGTGGGGATGAAGCAACCACCAGAGCAAGGCTTGCTCCATCACCCAGACAGCACACATCCTCGCTTTCAACAGTGGCAAGCGAGCCCCAAACATCATCATATTGTAACTCCCTGAGCACAGAGCATCCAAGTGCTGAAAGGACCCGGACATGTTTCTCCCTCTCCTGAGCGTGAAAAAGAAGGGAAACCTCCTTTTTTTTTTTAATGCCTAACATAACCAGAGACCAAGAGGCACTACAAACCCTCAACCCCAACCCTTTCACTTTGAACAGGGCTCCAACCCATTTCATTTCCCTTTTTCCACCCCTTCCAAACAACAACAACAAAAAAAACCCCCCAAACCCAAAACACATGTTCTATTTTCCATATAATAAAACCGCGGCGCTCTTAATAACTCCCCTATTTGACAATTTGTTTGGCAACATATGGAAAGCTCTCGTAAACTCGCCCCTTCATAATACAACAGCAGATGGCAAACACAATCCTCAACACGCCGCTCTCAGCGGCCCTAATGGGCTCGGAGGGCTCCTCACCCTGCACCGCATCCCTCCAGCTCCACACCTCGCCTTCGCAGAGATTGCCCAGGCAGCTTCCACAGCAGCTATTTAAAAACTGAAGCAATTTTCTGGTTTATGCACAGAGCTGCCTTTTCCCTTTTGATTGATTGAGCTGAGTTGTCAAGCATTTCCATGAAGTCGCTAAAAAAGAAAGGTACCCTGGTGGGCACGTAAAAACCTGATGCAAAACTTCTAATATGTTTTATTGCAACTTGTACTTCAAAAAGGAAGGGACAACAAAGGCAAATGTATTTGCTTTGTCTGTTACGCAAGTCAGGGAGCTGAGACCCGTTTCCTTGGAAAGCAGGTTACCGTTAATAGCCAGGTAATTAGGAGGCTTTTAAAAAGAAAGGAGAAAAAAAAATACAGAGGGGGGAAAAAAAAACCCCTGACCATCATGGTGCCGCAGGGGTGTCATGCAGGGCTTGCTGCTGTCACCCACCAGGCCATGGTGAGCATCCTGTGGCCACCCTGAGCCACCTCCTACCTTGGCATAGTCCATCAGCTCACGACGTCCGGGGAAGCGCTGGTAAAACTCAGGAAGCCTCCATGGAGCAATGACCTGGTGGGAGGGCAGGAGCATGAGATAAGGAGCCCCCAGTCCCTTTATGCCCCCTGGCATCATCCCAGGTTCCCCAGAGGAGCAGAGACCCACAGGGTGCTGGTGCCCCAGCTGAAATTTAATCTTCCCACACAAGGGTGGAGAAACCCAAACCCCTGACCCCAACATGGTGCTGGATGCTGGATGCAGCATCGATTATCCAGCAGCTGCCCTGGTACTGTTTCCTCTGTGGCCTCGTAGTGTTTGGGGTAAAAATAGGTCAATTAAGGATCATTACAGCCCCCTCAAATGCCAAAATGTCGCTTTGTGCAGCTGGCAGCTTGTTAAAAGCGAGGCACGGCTGCTCGCATCGGTGTTAAAACAAAATTCCCTGCCAGCTGGGGAAGGGGTCAGTAGCCCGGCGGTGGGAACCCAGGGGACAATTTTGAGTGCCTTACCTTGATGTTGGGACACAGGGCATAGCAGGTGAGCTCAAACCGAACCTGGTCATTGCCCTGAAACACAAACAGGAGATGCTGAGGGCTCATTCCGCGCCAGGGCAGGTGAGGACCTGCTGATTCCCTGCTCCTGGCTGCTCTCCCTGCGCAGGGTCGGGACCAAAATCCCCTCACTGGGAGCTAGAGGGGACGTGTCTCAGGGGCTCAGCTCCAGCCAGCACATGGGACAAGCTGCTTCATGGGAAAAGCCTCTCAGCCTGTGGGTCAGGAGATCTTTGGCTGAACAAGTTGTTTGCACATCCCTGCGAGAGCCACCAGCCAGGAGGAACATCTGGCTGAGGCTTCCAGGGACTTCACAGACCACAGCTCTCTATGGAGGAGAGGGGTCACACTTATTCTCCCAGTAATGGCACTGGGATGGGATTGCTGCCTATTTTCACTGGAAAAGCCTCAGCCTGAGGCTGAGGACCCAGTTACCTCCTCCATTCCCCCAGCATGGAGGGAGTCAGGAGGTGGTAATGAATGGCAGGACCTGAGCTGTGTCTGTCCCACGGTCCCTCTCCATGGCTGGTTTGAACCTAAAACCATCTTTCCTGGTAGTCTTGATAGAATTGGGCACCAAGTGATCAAAACCCTGAGGCAGCTCATGCACCTGGCTCCAAGGGAGCCCAGCTGACCCCAGGTTTTTCCTAGAGCCAGGGTCTCCTCTGGGCTGACATTTCCAAAACCAGAACTAGTGGAAACCCAGATGTGGGTATTTTTCCCATCAGAGGACACACAGAGGGAGAGGGTGAGGGGGGAGGAAGACCACAGTGTCCAGGAGGATGCAGCAGCTCATAATTAAATAGCTCTGAACCTCCCTTGTTCTTAATTAGTCTGTGCTGATGGGGTCTCACTAATGAGCCCAGGTAGTTGGGAAGGGGCAGGGAGCAAGCCTGGGAGTTATTAGTGCTTCCAAGGGAATAGATTTCACCAAAGCCTATTTTCCACCAGCACCAAGGGGTGTAAGGACCCCCCTCCCCTCCTCTTGGCCCTGGCCTGCAGGATACATTTACAGCAGAGTTGGGAAATCCCTGAGGACTATTACACGCAGGCGAGTACATCCACCAAAGCACTCATTTCCCTTAGAGGCCCAAAACAAGTCCATCTGCTCTGGCAGCGGGGACACCGCAGATGGCCTGCATTTAAGACACCACAGCCGGGGACGGGGCGCAGCCG